GTTCAGGACCTCCGAGAGGGCTGGTCCCACAGCCTCCCTACAGATGGGGAACACGGGCCGGCAAGGTCATACAGGGAGGGCTCCAGAACTAGATTCCAGGTCTCCTGGCCCCCAGGTCCGTGATAACCTCACTCCCCACAGAGGGGCAGAGGTGTGGTATGGGGCCCTGCGTAAAACCAGTGCCTGGGGTGGCCGCAAATCTTTCCAGCCAGAGGCTCAGGAGCATGTTAGGTTTGGGACTGACCAGCTGGCCTCCCCACCACCTCACGCCCGTGCATTCCTTCCCCAGTATTGACTGGGCACCTGGGCTGGCCGCTCAGAAGACACGAGGGAACACAGCCAGGGCCTGGACACATAGGAGGCATGGCCTCCTCAGCAGTCACATCCCCGTGGGCCAGAGAGACGCCAAGGGATAACTCCGAGAATGATGAACGGAGATGTTGATTAACATGAATAATAAATGGGCACAAATTCATGCTCAAAACGATCGCTATAAATCAGGACGTAGATGGGTAAGTTGTTTTGATGTGTGTGTCCAGTACTGAGCTTGGGGAGGGGAGGGGGAAGGACATGTGTTCCAGGGGTGTGAGGGGTGTGACGTTGTGTGAGGCAGTTAGAGTGTGTTGGTGAACGTGTGTGTAGATGAGTGTGTGATGATGTGTGTGTGACAGTGTGATGTCTGTGTGTGAGGGTACATGCGGCAGTTGTGTGTGACTGCTTGGGGGGGGTGGTGTCTATGTGTCTGGGAAGGTGTATGTACGTGTGTCCATGTGTGTGTGTGTATGAGGTGTGTAATGGTGTGAGTGACCACAAGTGGTGTGGGTGTGGATGAGGGAGTGTGTGTATATTGTGTATGGAGGGTGTATGTGAGAGGCGTGTGAGTACAGAAGGACACGTTTGTGTTCTGGTTGTGTGAGTGCATGTCTGTGTGAGTGTGCCCGATGGTGCGTGTTCACGTGTGTCTGTGAGGGTGGATGCGAGCGTGTGTGTCTGTGGGTGAGAGTGTGTGTCCGTGCAGATGTATGGATGTGTGTGTGATTGTGAGTGGAGGTGAGCACGTTTGTGGGTGTGAGTGGGTGGGATGTAGGAGCGTGTGTGAGTGTGCATGTCTGTGCACGCGGGTGTGTTGGATGTTATTTTGGGGCTGGAGGGGATCGTTAATGTGCCTGGGGGATGGAGATCCAGGGCCAAATCGGGGTCAGGACGGGCGGGGGAGGGGTTGCTTCTCCCAGCCTGGCTCACAAGGGCGGTCCCTCTGGCCCCGCTTCCCCGTCGGAGCCACAGTTCTGAGCGAGAAACGCCTGCTCCTCCCGGGACGGCCTCTTGAACGCACCACCGTCCCCCCAGGCGAGGAGCGGAGGCTCAGCGGCGCCCCGGGTCCGGCGGCGGGGGCAGTGAGAGCAGGTGCCCGCCCTCCCGCCGCCCACCCCGGTCACCTGGCGCCGCCCCCGCGCCGCCCGCAGCATCCTCGGGCCCCCCATCACTGTCCCGCGCGCCGCAGATGCGGGAGGACGCGGGCGCCGCGCCCCGGAGGCTGCTCCGGCGGGGCCCCCCGCGCGCCCCGCCGCCCGGGCAGAACGGGGACGGAGGCGGCGTCAGCAGGCTGGGTGCGGCCCGGGATCGGGTGCGGCGCTGGGAGTTCTCCAAGGTGCTAAAATAAACCCGGAGAAGGATCAGGTTTCCCGACCGAAATAACCCAGGAGCGGCCTTAGAAATGCGAACTGACAAAGCGATCCGGGGTGGGAGCCGGCGGGGTGGGGAGGCGGTGACGAAAAATGCTTTTCTCAGGGCTGCTTCGCCGTCCTGGCAGGGACCCCCCGCCGCTGCCCCTCCCTGCTCTCCCCTCCAGCTGTGCGTCTCCCCAGAGTGGAGCTTCACACCCCTTCCCCTCCTGTTTTGGGGTCATTACCCCAAATAACCCGACTCCTCTTGGCCATCGTCTTTGATGGCAAGGTTTGTAGTAGATCAGAGTCCAGGCTTCAGAATCAGACAGCCATTCATTCAATACATATTTATTGAATGCCTGCTAGGTGCCACGCACTCCTTGGGCACCTTGCCCCACAAAGGAACAAATAGACAACAGACCCTGCCTCGTGGGCTGACACTCTGCTAGGAGGACACAGACCCTGAGCACACACAGAATAAATAAGTGTATGGCATGTTAGAAAAGAAACTGGCCAAGGAAAAAGGAAAAGAGAGGGAGAGGGTAAGGGGAGTTGGGGTGATGTCTCAATCCCGGGGTACCTCGCTGGCTGACTCCATGGTCCAGAGAGAATCCCTTAACCTCTGAGCTTTGGCGTTCTCGTGTGTACCACGGGGACTAAAAGCCTGTTTATGAAGTTGCAGTGACTGTTGAGACACGCACGTATCTCTGAGTCTGGCACGGAGCAGTGTTAAGTACAAGTTAATGATAAATGTGCTCAGTAGTAGTAGTCAGCCTATCTTAGACATTTAAAGACCACAAATCACAAGTGACTACAGTGTCCAAATGGCTCTACGTCCCAGGATGCTGCCAGAAAACCTCTCCTGCTTTCAAGTGATAGGCAGTGTATCCAAATGCTTGGGGCAAGGCTTTAGACTGAGGCCTGAGTCACTTCACTGCATACCACACCCCTCTCTCAACAGTGGACAGTGCTACAATAGGGAGGTGATGTGGACCTGGGGCCAGGTGGGGCAGTGATTCAGGGCAGGCCAGGAGGTCTGCACGCGTGGGGCCACCTCAGAGCCATCTTTGTACTTCCCACTGGTCCTTGCATGGGGAGAGGGCCTGACACACAGCAGACCTCAAAAAGTATTCCAGGGACCTCCAGTGGTCCGGTGGTTAAGACTCAGTGCAGGGGGCGTGGGTTCGATCCCTGGTCGGGGAACTAAGACCCCACGTGCTGCGCGGCCAAAAATAAATAAATAATTAATGTTTTTTAAAAAGTGTTCCAGGAGTGAGTGAGCGAATGAGTGAGTGAAAGATGAGGTCAAGCAGACAGGAAACGGAGAAGCTGTGGGATACCTGGCCAGGAAGACAGCCCACAGGCTCAGAGTTACAGGGACCAGCCAGCCCACATCCTAACTCTGGCCTTGCCTGACCAGCTCTGGGGCCTCACAGGTGATGTCACCACTCTAGCCTTCTCTTCCTCAACTCTAACAAACCCAGGAAAAGTGTGGTTAGACTTGCCATGTTGGCTGGAAGTGTCTCCGACCCTGTGCTGCTCTTTCAGGTCTGGGCGCTGCAGTAGGTGGCTCAGGATGACCCACTGGACTTCATGGGGTTGCATCTGAACACACTTTTATTTGGTACTTGCCACTTTAACCACTTATTTATATCCTGCTTTAGTGCACAGGGGTGTATATAGAAGGATAGCTAGGCCATAATAGTTTCAAATAGTCACAAAATGCAAACAACCTACATGTCTAATAATAGGGAATTGCTTACATAAAGGATGGCCCATCCACATGACAAAATGCCAAGCAGCCATCAAAAAATGATGGGTTGTCATGGAGACATTGCCAGGTTTATACATATTTTTTTTGTTTATTTATTTTTGGCTGCATTGGGTCTTTTTTTTTCTTTTTCATAAATTTATTTATTTTATTTATTTAATTTTGGCTGCGTTGCGTCTTCGTTGCTGCACGCAGGCTTTCTCTAGTTGCGGCAAGCGGGGGCTACTCTTCGTTGCGGTGCGTGGGCTTCTCATTGCGGTGGCTTCTCTTGTTGCAGAGCATGGGCTCTAGGCACGTGGGCTTCAGTAGTTGTGGCTCACGGGCTCAGGAGTCGTGGCTCGCAGGCTCTAGAGAGCAGGCTCAGTAGTTGTGGCGCACGGGCTTAGTTGCTCCACAGCACGTGGGATCTTCCAGGACCAGGGATCAAACCCATGTCCCCTGCATTGGCAGGCAGATTCTTAACCACTGCGCCACCAGGGAAGTCCCAGCAGGTTTATATTGTTAAGTGAAAAGGGGAGGTTATTTTTTAAAGGATATATAATACAATCATCTTTTAAAAGCATATATCTTTATATATATAATATACATAGGTATAGTTTGTTCAATAGATATTCTTTCTGATTATTAAAGTAATACTTGGTTGTCATAAAACATTTCAGTAATTGGAAATGAGACAAGTGAGAATCCCTTTATAACCTGACCACCCTCATGTTAACAGTGGTGGTCTCCAGACAGTAGGATTATATCAATATCATCTGTATTTATTGAATTTATTGCAGTAAGACCATAACATTTTGACAGTAAGGAAAAAATAAGGCTATCGGTAAAAGTATATTATTTTATAAACTGGCTAGCTATTTCATGGGTGTTTATCCTGTCTCCCCAACTAAACTGCAGCAAGAGATCAATGAAAGCATCAATTCAATGAATGAATGAATTCTAAGACTCTTGAGAAGTGGGACTGTGTGGGCTATGGTAGGTGCTCATAAAGGGATGGTGCCTGCTTCTCAGCTGTCTGAGGGTGTGAACAAGGTCACCCTGACTTACAGATGGAGGAGAAGGTCTCAGTCTGAGTGAGTGGCTCTCACCAGCCCCCTGAGGGGGAAACAGAGGCCAGGAGTGCTAGCAGGACTTGCCTAAGGTCACTAAGGTAGAGGTTGCTGAGGGGTTTGAACCCAGGGTTGTCCCAGCCCAGAGCCCACTTTTCACCACTCCTAGGCCAAAGTCCAGTCGGACTCCATGGCCCTCCCCAGCATGGAGCCCATTGTAGCCCTCAGAACCTGCCAGCAGCTCTTGCCAGGCCAAAGTGCTGACACAGACCTCTGTGTATTAATAGCCCTTTTCTGGGCTGGGCTCCTCCTCCCCTCCTGAGGTCAGCCCAGGTCATGGGCCCCACCCAGGGAGAGTGGGGTGAGTGCCCTGGTGGACAGCTAAGTGGGCACATCCAGGTCCCTGTGGCCTGAGGCATCTGAGTCTGGAGGCCCTTGTATCCCACCCCAGGGACTTCTTGGGAGTTGGGCCTCACCTCTTTTGGGTTTCACCCCTCTGAGCCTCAGCTTCCTTGTCTGTAAAGTGGGGATGATGTCTTGACTTCACAGGAAGGTTGGTTATATGGTGTCAATAAACTAAGGCAAATAGAGAGCACAGGACACTGCCCACTACCCATGCATTCTGTGCACATCTTCATGTGCATCTGTCCAGGGTCCAGGATGAGACAGCACAGGTCATTTTGGCCACACCCAAGAGGGAGGGGTGTGACACAGTCTGGGACGTCCGTCTCTGTGGGTGCATGTTCTGAGGGGAACACTCTGGAAGAGAAGTGCCAGGGAGTCCACAAGGAACCCCAGACTGAGGGTTCCTGGTGTCTGGCTTCACACCAGCCAGGTACGGAGTAGGGGCCAGACCTTGGGGGTGAGTCCTTCTGAAGGGGGCACTCAGAGGGAGAGAGGACTTTGCCTTGTTTGTTAAATAGGATCAATTCCTAACCCATAGGCCTGAAGGCTCACTATGTGGCAGGGACCCTTCTCAGCATTTTACAAACATCATCTCACTGACTTCACAACAGCTCTTGGAAGGTGGGCACTAGTGTTCCCATGTTACAAGAGGAGAAAACTAGGCCCAGAGAGGCCAAGTGACTTGCTTGAGTTCCCACAGCTAGTTGGTGGCAGAGGCCCAGGTTATTCCTCATCTCTCTGACCCTGGAGCCCCCAGGCTGGTGCCCTGTGACCACAGAGCACTCACTCCCACCCCAGGCAGCTTTCTGTCCTTGGGAGGCTCTGGCCCTGGTCCCTGGGAGGCTGTGGGGTGGGCCTGGGGCTTCACGGGGGTCTCCACGCTTGGAAGGACTCCCGCCTTCATCCCTGCTGGGCAGACAGGCCTTGGGTGCCGCAAATCATGAGACCAGGGCGTTCACCCCTGACTCTGCTGCTTGCCCTAAACCAGTGGCTTCCCTTTGAGCCCGGGCCCAGTCGGCCCTAAAAGGGCTGTGGAGACTTTGGGTTTCTGCAGTCAGGGAGGCCAGACTCATACCCCAAATCCTCGGCTGGGCCCTCGTGGTCTGCCCCTCTCTGGGTCTGCAGCCTCTCTTGCCCCCTCAGTCCATGTACTGCCACACGGGCCCCCAGACCTCGCAGGAGGGCAGGAGGTAGGCTGTCCCTCGCCCAGGGCCTCTCACCTGCCTTTCCTTCCGGGGGAAAGCCCTCCACAACTCCCAGGCCAGGCCCGGAACCCTGTTCTATGATCCTGCAACACATCTGCACGCTTGCAATTATTCACACGTGTCATTCGTTTAATCCCCGCGGAACTGTGAGCTTCCCGGGGACGGGGACGCATGCGATGTGTTCCACTCGCTGCAGTGTTCCAGGCACCTAGCACAGGTCCAGGAGCTCGGGAACTAGTTACGGGTTGCCTGAAGCTGCTTTAAGTGATCCTGTCCTTCGCAAAGCTTCCGGGCAGCGGAGGCCACCTCCGAGGGGCAGATCCATTACCAACCAATTAACTACCCCTCCCTCTAATGGAAATCGAATCTTACAGATTGCCATTTGATTGAACGGTCATGCACTGGAGGCCCATTCAAGACTGACTGAAAATGAAAAAGCCCAGCCTGCCAGCTTAATGAAATGCTGTCACAGAGGGGAGGGGCTGGGCCCAGCCCCAGAGGACCCAGAGTGATGCCTTCAGTGACGTCATTCACTCCATCTGGTGTCCGGAGAGGCCTTTGGCCTAGACTCCACCGTCTAGTCCATGGGACCAGGTCCAAGCTGTCCAGGCCAGTGGGTCAGGCGGGCCTGGCTCGCAGGGGTCTGGCCTGCTCAGAGGGAAGCTGGTCAAAGCAGGGCTGAGTCGGGGGCCCCCATCTAGGCCTCTGGCCTGGGGCACAGCCGAGGCCAGAGCAGCAGGAGGACTACATTTCCCAGAGTCCCCCAAACCCCGGGAGCGAGCCATTGGAAGATTTAAATAGCCCAGGCCCGAGGCAGCCAGGCTGCAGCTGTGGACGTGTCCACCTCCTGGGTGGCTCCATTGGCGCTGGCCCGCACTGGGGGGCTCGATTGGCTGCCCAGCTGGCACTGACATTCCCTGGGAGCCTGGTGGCAGCCGGAGGTAAGCAGCCATGTGCAGTCCCGCACTCTATATTTAACAGCTGTCGCAGAGCAGGAGGGGAGGCCGGGAGCAACGGAGGCTCCAGGCTTCCGTCTTTGGAGAGAAGGGCCTCACAGCCAGGCTGGCACCGGCCCTCGCTGGGTGATTGTCGCCATGCCTGCCTCCCAGAGCCGGGCCCGGGCCCGGGACCGCAACAACGTCCTCAACCGGGCCGAGTTCCTGTCCCTGAACCAGCCCCCGAAGGGGCCGGAGCCCCGCAGCTCGGGCAGGAAGGCCTCGGGCCCCTCGGCACAGCCCTCATGCCCTGGCGATGGGACCCGCGAGCGGCGCCAGTCTCAGCAGCTGCCCGAGGAGGACTGCATGCAGCTGAACCCCTCCTTCAAGGGCATCGCCTTCAACTCCCTGCTGGCCATTGACATCTGCATGTCCAAGCGCCTGGGGGTGTGCGCCGGCCGGGCCGCGTCCTGGGCCAGCGCCCGCTCCATGGTCAAGCTCATTGGCATCACAGGCCACGGCATCCCCTGGATCGGGGGTACCATCCTCTGCCTGGTGAAAAGCAGCACGCTGGCCGGCCAGGAGGTGCTCATGAACCTACTTCTGGGTGAGTGTGCCCGCTGCCCACCACCCGCCCCGCCAGGCCCGGGGAGGGAGCCCACCCCAGCAGGACCAGCGGGGCCCTCAGAAACCGACTGGAACAATTTAATGAGGTTAGGCAGGGAGGGTGCCCCAGAAACAGGCAAGCCTCCGGCTTGGGGAAGAGAGAGCTGAGGATGCCCGGATGACAGCCCCCTGCAAAGTGAGGGCCTTGAGAATGCGGGGCCCCAGCGGGAACTTCTGAGGAAGGGCCCTGCTCTGGGGAAGGAGCAGCTTGAACCGCCGCCCCAGAAGCAGCTTGAACCGGGGTGCTGGAGGCCGTGACCTCGAGGGAAGTGGCCAGGAGTCTGGCGGGTGCTCTGCAGTGAGGTGTCTAACCCTGTAACACCCCATCCCATAGGCTGGGGTCCTTGAGTTCCTAGGCTGCTTGCAGGCAGCACTTGTGAGCTTCTCCCATCAACCCCCTGCTTGGCTCAGGGACCCTGCAAGCCGCCCAGTATCCTCCCACAGGGCCTGGGGGTGCAGGGGTCCAGTCTGGGGCTCCCACCCACTCGTGGCCTCCTGGAGTCCTTACGTACCGCTTCCCTGGGTGAGTCGCTGGAGGAGAGGAGGGCCTGGTGAGCTTTGGTTTGTTTTTGCAGAGTCTTTGTCACCAGCGTCTTTCAGTTGAGCTCTGCCCTGTGCCAGGTGCCACGTGGGCGCCATGTGGAAAGCAGGCCTTCCCCTCTCTCCAGGAGGTGATGCCCAGCCCCCATGCGGCCCACCCTCCAGCCACCTCCAGACCCCCCAGGTGCTCGGGGACCCAATGCTGCCACCCTCCACGGTGGGCCATGTTGATCTCCTGGCCCTTCCCAGCACAGCCACGATCTGGGGCACAAGTGGGGGGCGGGGGAATGGCTCAGGCTAAGCAAGCACTGACAAGGGGTCCCACTTCCAAAGGGGTGTGTGTTGGGCCACTGAGAGCTGCCATCACAGGGGAAGTTGCAATACAGTGTGACTCCCCACTCAGGTCTCAGAGCATCTGGGGTGGACACTCTGTGGGTGGGATGTAGGGAGGGGAGAACAGCAGTTCCTCGTGCAGGAGATGGCTGGGTCTGGTACCATCAGCGTTTTCTTGTTCTTATTCCTAAATGATTTACATTACTTGTTACTATGCCAAATAGTCCCATGTGACTGGTGCTATTACCATTCCCACTTTACAGATTAGGAGACTGAGGCTCCTGTAAATAAAGCAACCTGGCCAAAGCTTCAGAGCGGGAGATTTGCACCAGGTCTGAAGATTTGCACCTGACATCCAGGCCTGTGCTCTTTTCAAGCAACATGCCCTGGGCTTGGGACAGAGGGACAGAGCAAGGTGGCCCAGGTGCTGGGCCGGGTGTTTGCAGGGGGCAGAACCCTGGTCTCATTACCCACAGTTTCCCCGGTGCCCGCTGCAGCCTGACACAGAGCCGTAGCTCAAGAAAACTGTGTTGGGGGTCAGGTGCCCAAGGATGGGGGTGGGAAGGCATCCTTGAGCCTCCCCTCAAACCTGCTCCCTAGACCTTGTCTGCACATTCCTTCCACGTAATATGATGGAGGTGGTGAAGCTGTGTTCATAACTTGCTCAGCGCTTACTACGTGCCCGGTTTTGCATAAACCACATCATCACTTCTACAGGGAGATGATTTGTCCACAGCCACGTAGCTAGTCATTGATGGGGCCAGGACTAGAGCTGGGAACAACTCTTAACATCTTAACATTTGTTAAGATGAGGCTTCTGGCTCTTTCCAGCAACCAGATTCTGGGGACACAAAGGAGTTTGCTTCATAGGGTGAAGAGCAAAGTTCTCGGTGCCTCCCTTCTTGAATAAGAAGGACAGTCATTTCTAAGTTTTTAAAATCATCATTTATTGCGCTTCACCATGTACCAAGTACTATGCCATGAATGTCCTGTATTTCATGATTTTAAAATCTTTTTAATGACCATGTAATGTAAATATTAATATACCCACTTTACAGAGTTAACTGAGGCTCAGAGGGGTCAAGGGACTTGCCCACCCCCACATGCCCGTAAGTGGTAGATCTGGGAAGCAAATCCAAGTCCTCCAGGCTGCAAACCCCTTGCCCCCCCCTCACCATCCGTCTGCAGGTCGGGCTTACCACCCAATCCACGCTGAAGCTTGTGAGTAGCGAGGAGGCACCTGGGAAGAGTTTTCTCTTTTACCAGCACCTTTGCTGGCACATCCACGTACCGACATGACAGAGAGATAAGAGCCTGGCACAGAGCAGCTGCTCAGAACAGACAGGGTGGTCTGTGGGCCTGGGGCATTGCGTGGGGATGCGGACCCTGTAAACTGCTGCAAATAGCCAAGGCGGGTTAATCCCACAGCTCTGACCTGACCTGCCAAGAGGAGCTGCCCATACCACTCCCTGCCCAGGGGAGAAAGACCATCCGTGGAGCACAGACTGTGCACAGATCTGTCTTTTCTTTCGTCTTTGGGGGCCTGAGCGGCCTTTCAATCCTGGAGCTCTGAGGTTGGAATGGACTTTGTCCGGGTCCTCACTCCGACCCTTACTCGGTCTGGTCAAGTCAGTTCCCATCCCTGAGCTTCAGTTTCCTCATCTGTACATGGGGCTTCAGGACTGTGGTGGGGATTCAAGGGGAGCTGGTAAAGCACTTAGCACAGTGGGTGGCAGGCAGACATGGAAGCTGCAGAGCCCTGAGGGATGAGGGGGCCCTGCCTGGTCCCACCCGCCCTGCTCTGAGCACCAGGGCACCCAGCAGAGTCCTGAGGGCAGAGCCCTTCCCCTATACAATTGGCACTTGGGCTCTCCTCGGCCCCAAAGCGGAAAACTCAGGAGCCTCGGGAAATGGAGCTGCAAACACTGGACCCGGGAAGAGTCCCAGCTGGGCCGGGGGGAAGTTCTCTGCTCTGGTCCCTGCGTTCCTCCCCAAGGGTGCGCTGTGCTGCCTAGACTCTGGAAACGTCAAAGCCAGAAGGGATCTTGGCAGCTGGCACAAGCTTGGCTCCAGAGTTGGCCGGACCTGGGTGCAAATCCTGGCCCAGCTGTGGGAACCGGGGCAAATGACTTTGCCTCTCTGAGCCTCATTTTCCTCATCTGTCTAGTGGGCTGCTGGGACACTTCCTGAAGCATTACACGAAAGTGCATGGCTCATACGAATGCCAGTTGATGCTTGGGCATCAATGATCACCATCCTCATCGCCATTGCCAGCATCAAAAGAAGTCCCAGGTCCAGGGTCCCTCCAGATCCCCTCCAAGCTCTAGGCACCTGTGAGATGACCTGATCCCCTCCTTTGTCCTTCCCCTGCAACACCCGACTTGATGATCCCAACGGGGGCCAGGTGACAGGGGACCCAGGCCATCCCCGTTCACCAAGCCCATCCTGGTTCCCCCATGGGCCTGTCCTTGGTGGAAAATGGCTTCCATGTCTTATTTCCATGATCTATAAAAGAATCTTTATCGAGATGTCCCTGATTATAAAAACTATACATTCTTTTTTTTTCTATGTCATTTTTTAAATTTTGGTTAAATAGACATAACATAAAACTTACCATTTTAACCATTTCTAAGTGTATACTAGCATTAAGTACATTCACATTGCCGGAACTTTTCCATCTTCCCAAACTGAAACTCGGCTCCCATTAAACACTAAATCCCCATCCCTCTCCCCACAGCCCCCAGCACCCACCATTCTGCTTTCTGTTGCTATGAATCTGACGAGTCTAGGGACCTCATATCAATAGCATTATACAGTATTTGTCTTTTAATGTCTGACTTATTTCACTTAGCAGCCTGTCCTCAAGGTTCATCCATGTCGTAGCAGGCGTCAGCGTCTCCTTCTTTTTTAAGGCTGCGTAATACTCCATGGTATGGACAGACCACATTTTGTTTATCCATCATCTACCTTCTGGCTATTGTGAATAATGCTGCTATGAACATGGGTGTACAAATATCTGTTCAAGTCCCTGCTCTCACTTCTTTTGGGTATAGAAGCAGGATGGAATTGCTGGATCCTATGTTTAATTTTTTGAGGAACCCCCAGACTACAGCAGCTACACCATCTTACATTCCCACCAGCAGTGCAAAAGGGCTCCAATTTCTCCACAAGTGTTCTTTGCCAGCACTTTTCTTTTTATATAACAGCCATCCTGATGGGTGTGAAAAGTGGTATCTCATTGTGGTTTTGATCTGTGCTTCCTTAATGATGAGTGATGTTGAGCACCTTTTCACTGTACATCCTCACGGTAAGGAAAATTCAGACGACGACAGGTGATGAAAAAAGTGAGTGTTTCCCTTAAGCCCTTTCCCCAGGAATAACCTCCGTTGCAGTTTGGGTCATGGGCCTCTGGATTTTTCTCTGCGCCCAAACTAGCATATCATATGCTTCTAAAATGACCTCCTGTGGCGTTTTGCCCAGCTTGGCCTCATCCTCATGGCCCTACTGGGCCTTCTGGGCTATGAACCTCCCATCTCGGCCCCACTCCTCCCTTCACACCAAGCACGAGGGGTTCAGAAACCAGGACCTGCACCCTTAGCCTGGCAGCGCCGCCCCCACCCGCCCCAAGCATCTCACAGCATCCCCTCCCCCCGAGCCCCTGCTCACCCACCCTCCATATAATCTGTTGTGTCAGCTTTCCCATCCCAGCCCACCGGCCCCTGCTCTTGGGCACAGCTTAGGTGACAAGCCCTCCAGGAGGTCTGCATAGCCTGTCCCTAACTGATGGATCTTTAGACTCTGATCCCAAACCTTCACGGTCAGGAGCCCTCCTGCTGGAGACACCAGCGCAGCTCCGCAGAGGTAGGACGTTCTCCACCCTTCCCCCCAGCTTCACTTCTCATCATCTCAGCGGGGCTCAGCGAAATGGTCCCTCCAGGCTAAAATACACATGACATAAAATTCACCATTTTCACCATTTTTAAGTGTCCAGTTCAGTGGCATTAAGTACATTCACATCGTTGTGCAATTGTCCCCACCATCTATCTCCAGAATTTCTTTCGTCTTCCC